GCATTCTTTGCATTGTTATATACAAATTCAGCAGTCAGAAGATGTTTGAGTCAATCATTCTGATAATATAAATAGAACACTTAAAGATGCTATTCTAGTGTCTGATTCTAGTATTCAGTCTGATTATCTGTCTGCAGATGAAATGCAGTACTGAGAAGACATCTTATTATAAGATAATAGTAAAAAGCTGATCAGTATTTACTGATGAAGAAGAATTCTTAATCTATTATTAATAATTTCAGAGCACTGTGATTATGAATAATAATATCTAAAAACAGATCAGTTAATTCAGAGGCTTTAATCTTTTTATAAATAGAGATATATCTAGTCATCTTTGTGAAGTAATTAACAATGACTAAAATTGAGTCATATTCTTTGACTCTTGTCAACTTCAGCAGATCAACTATGAAATTCATTAATAGATTCTATTATAAGCTCTTTGAAACAGACAGTGATACTAACTCACTGTATTACTTATACTATAGAATCTTTATTCTTTAATAGATATTATAAGTCTTAATATACTCTTTAACATCTGTCTAAAGCTTGTCTTAAATATATTTACATTTTAAAAGCTTTTCAGTCTTCTCTAACTTAAAGTGCTCTGTATGAGAATTATTATAATAAATTCTCAATAACTTCTAACACATTACTCTGCTATAAGAGATGAAGACTGAATTATTCAGCAGTAGAAGTTCATATTCTTCTAGTTATCAGTGACTTAGTTTCTTAGCAGTACTACTCTGCTCAGAGTCTGTCTCTTTCAAGTTCAAATCAAATTCTTTCTTCTTCAACTTCTGAATTTAAGCTGCAGTAGAGACATTTCTCTTCTATAATTTATCAATGAATTTCAAAAGTAGTCAGATTGAAAGATTATAGACTATTTCATTCTTTATCAATTCAATGATTGTAAGATATAATATGAGAAGCTTATGATCTTCAGTATCAGTTTTTTACAGAGACTCAGATTTTCTTTCATTTTTTATACTGAGTTATACAGCTGTCTTATCAGTGCTGTTTCTGAGCTTCAGAGAATTTCAATCTTCTGCAGTCAGCTTCTTCTGCAGTGATAATAGAGATTCTTTTATAGAATTCTTCTTCATATTAATAATATTATAATCAGACTGTTTAGACAGTGTGTTAGTGAGATTAAGCTAATCTGAACAGTATTAAATATAGAAATCATACTCTGAAAGCAGCTCTGCTTATCTGACTTAACATTCTATCAAGCTCTTTATTGTTAAGAAGTAACACAGATTTATATAATCAGTGAGAACTTATACTGAGTACTTACTACTCTGAAGATAATATTATCAGATCTTAAAGAATTTAACAATTACTAATATTTTCTGATTATAAATATTATATCTTCTCTGTATGAGTAATAACTTCTTGAAGAAGAAAATCACTGATCTTTATTCATAGTGTCTTATAGACTCTGTGAAAAAGTCTTCTCTCATAGATAATTCATTATCTATTTTCTCAGAGATAATTATTCTCTAATTCTTTCAATGTTGAAAAGTCTCTGATGTTAACTATGAAAAGATTTCATAGATCTCATTCTCAGATACATTAGTCTCACACTGACTGAGTAAGTTGAGATTAAAGTAATTCAGTATCATAATATCTATAAAAGCTTGTTTCAATTTCACAAACATCTGTACAGTGTCTTAAGTGAGAGTAAATAGTTTTATTTTTCTATCTTTCACACTTCTCTTTAACAGGTCTGTAAGAGAGACAGTAATCTATGAATATATATAGATGAATTATCTATAGAAATTTATAAATTTTAGAAATATCTGTATCTCATAGTATGTCTACAGCACTGATTAGTTCTTAATAACAGAGACTCAGCTTCTGTTCATTGAAATGTCATTCATCTTAATAATATAATTTAAGAAATCAATCTTCTGTATATAGAATGAGCATTTTTCAGTGTTTATATAGAGTTGATACTGTCTCAAGCAACTCAACACTTCTTAAACATGAGTATCATATTCTTTCTCTGTTTTTGAGAAGATTAGAATGTTGTTTAAGTATACTATATAGAAGATATTAACAAGGCTCTGCAGTGTCTTATTTATATAGATCTGAAAGATAGCTGAAGTATTACAAAGATTAAAAGATAAAACAAGATATTTAAAATTACTGTACTTAATATAAAAAGTTATTTTTTAAACATTGTCTTTATTAACTCTGATTCTATGATAGATATTCTGTATATCAATCTTTGAGAATATCTTTACTTCAGATAATTAATTGATCATCTCATTAATTAATAGTAATAAATAGTAATTCTTAATCATCATCTTATTAAGATCTCTGTAGTCTATATATAAATGTAGTCTATCATTCTTCTTGAGTATAAAGAGTATAGATGTCTCTATCAGACTCTTTGATGAATATATTCAGTTCTTTGATTACACTTCTTCAAGATATTTACACAGAATATTCAATTTCTTTACAGACAAGTTGTAAAGAGACCTGTACAGTGTCATTACACTGTCTTCAAAACAAATCTTATATTATATCTTGATATCAGGAAACTTCACTGCTTTTCTTTCTAAAAAGACATTCTTAAAATCTGTAAAGAGATGTTATATATATCTATCTTTAATAACAGATACTGCTGCTAATCTTACAGTGAGAGTAATAACTTCTTCATCTATTTTCAAGTCTCAGTTATCTGCTATATAGTATATTAACTTAATCTTTTTCTCAAGATTCTTTTAATGAAACTCTTCAGATTTCTCTATCACTATCTCTTTATCAGTGAAACAGTATCATTATATCTAAGTAACTTAGTTAATAAATGAATTATTTTCTCTCAATTATAAAAGATTTAGAATAATATTCTTATCTATAATATTAACTATATGAAGAAGTAGACTGCTCTTCTTAAAGATTTCTTCTAAGTCTGTGATTATATACTACACTTGAATTATATTAAAACAGTGATATTTTATTTCATCAGTAAATTTCATATAATTTGACAGATCTATCTTCTTTCAATTCTTTATCAAAGAAAAGAAATAGAATATGAAGTTAATATTCACTTTAAAGTTAAGTAGATATCTCACTGATATCTTCTCATTCAGAGTATATATTATAATTATAATATAAACTCAGAGATATAAGAATTATTAATTCTTTATTTCTTTCTCTTCTTTATTTTCTGCAGATACATTTATCAGAAGAGAAGTTAATTTTAAAAAAATATCTTCTCAGTTTCTTCTCTTCTTCAGCTTCTTACAATTACTGATATAATAATTATCAGCTCTGTAGTTAAAACAGAGATCTTTATTAAATCTTTTTTAATATTTCTTCACAGTGAGTGAAGAATTAGAATACTTAGAATTCTTCTTTACTTTCTCTGTATTAAAGCTGTCATAGTGCTGTTTAAATCTTATTATAAGTTACTTAGAAGAGATCTTATTAATCTTTTTCTCAGAGAATTGATTATTTAAATAGATCTGAGAAGTTAGATTAACAAGCTCAGTGCAATTGATTAATAAACTCTAATACTATAATATTATTATTCATATCTTATAAGTCAGCTTTATAAGATAAAGCTGTGTTTTTAATTGATTCAAATCATTAGTCAATTTCTCTTAATATTCTTTAAATCTTATATTGAAATTGAAAGAATTCTTATTATCTTATTAATATAATGTATTAAACTGTTGCATCACTGTGAAGCTATAATTACAATAATTTTTAATTTAATTCAGTAAAAAGTTCTTGAATTCTTCTTAAGTTATAATAGTATTAATACACTCAAGCTCTCTCTTCTTAATAACTCAAGTAGTCACAGAGATATCTTTAAGAAGGTTGACAGTGTAGATTACTCATATTTTATAAGTATTATACTAACTCAGATTAAGGCAGAATTTCTGTTCAAGAGTATAGATAAAGCTGTGAAATTCAGATAAGATATTTCTCTTATATTTCAGAAAATCTTCAATCTTAATCTCTCTATCTTTATAATAGATGTAGATGTGTAGAAGCTGTGACAGTAATAGAGCAGTTAAAGAGCTTATATTAAAATATACAGTAGATTTAGAAATCTCAGATTTCTGTCAGAGTAGAGATATATATACTCTAGAAAATAATATAGTATTTCTCTCAGAGAGTAAGATTGAGTTAGTCTCAGTATAAGTATATAAGATTATATTAATCTATTAGAGCTTGACTGATTCAAATATATAATCAGATAAAGTGATTTGAATTGTAATATAATAGAACTGAAGCAGTGACTAGTCAGCAGTATTATATAGAAGTAGTTATTTAAAAAACTATATAAATAAGCTTAACTATCTTACTTGAATAGTGAGCTTGTAGACTACAGAGTTATTATGAGAATATCACAGATATAATACTTAGTATACTAAGAAGATTGTATGAGATACACAGTAACTTCTATATATATTTCAGTAGAAGAAAAGAAATGAATCACTGACTTCTTTAATAAGAAGTCAGTATCTAGCTATTTTATATAGATAATGAGTGAATACTCTTCTCTCATTTCATAAGTGAGAATAGCTGAAGTGATATCTCAGCAGCATCTCATTGCCAAGGAAGAGTAATCTGCTGACCTCATATAGAAGTGGGGTTCTCTTATCCATCAATCGGATCTTCCTATGATATATCCGAATGATGTCATAGGGTGGTTGGAAACCGGTTCGGACGGGATGGAATCATCCGCATGGAAGCGATGGGCCGTGTGGAACCGCAGCGGGGCCTTGGCGCGGCCGGGAGCGTGACACTGATTATGAATCAGCTATACATGCTTTGATTGATTGATGAGCTGAGTGAATGAATGAATGAATGAGTGGATTGAAGATTGAAACTCAATTACCAACTGATTATTACTGTATTGTGTGAGGTCAGGGTCATGATTATGTAACAAGGTCAAGTGGCGCACTTAGCGAGGTCAAGTTTTCTGTATACACCGGCCCGATAATGGTCCGTTGATGACGCATGATGACTAAGCTGGCGTTAGCTTCAAGGTAATTTGGAGAAAATTGTTAAAGAAAGAGTGGTTGATTGTTGAAGGTGAAGAAGTTATTGACTCTGTTCACTTCTTGACTAGAACTTATTCTTCATTACGGCGGCGATAAATTATAAGACCCATTTACAAACGCATGGATTAGGTCAATTTCCCCTCTTTGACTCTCCCATCCGCACCCATACATCGGGTAAACTCAAGTGTTTCCAGTACCATCATGGCTTCATTCACGAAGCAAGGAAAACGAAAGGATATAGAAGACGACTCAATTTCCTTCGAGACCTCAAAGAGACATAGGGGGAACAATCTTGATGCGCGAGAGGCTTCTCCAAGAGCTCGAGACGAGCAGGACGACCGCCGAAAATACCGCGATCGAAGCGAGTTTGATAGTAAAACTCGCAAGCAACCCAGCAATCCCCGAATACATGATCCAAACCCATACACCAAAGCACAGTCGCAGCGAGATGATCGCGCCTATACTGCGGGACGCGCCGCAGTGAAACCATTTCGTTCCCGTGATGTAGACCTCCCCTCCGCAGGCGAACTTAAGAACAAAATTCGCGACATTAAGCGCCTCTTACAGCGTGCCGATCATCTTCCGGCCGACGTCAAGATAGAGAAGGAGAGGGCGCTGGTGGGGTATGAAAGGGATTTGGAAATTGTTGAATCTCGAAAGAATCGGGCGGCAATGATTAAGAGATATCATTTTGTGAGGTTTTTGGGTATGTAGAACGACCGAGGTTTTTTAACACACGCACACACACGCACACACACAAAGCTTATACGTATACTTTACTTTACGGATGCTAACAACGCGCTCCGTCCTTCTAACTCTCAGAACGAAAAGCAGCAACCCGACGACTGAACAAACTCCTCAGACGGAAAAAGGCACTCACAGAATCAGACCCAACTCCAAATAAAGAGGAACTAGATTCCCTCGAGGAACAGATATACCTCACCCAAGTCGACCTCAACTATGCTATATACTCTCCCCTGACCGAGAAATACATATCCTTGTACCCGAACCAGCGGCGCGATAAACAGGCTCCCGAACTGGAGCCAGAGCCGGAGGACTCAGATATCATCCGCAACTGTTCGGGCGAGAAGCCGCCGCTGTGGCACGCGGTCGAGCAGAGTATGAAGGACGGCACGCTCGAGCTTCTGCGGGATGGGAAGCTTGGGATTGGCATTTCTGGGCAGAAGAAGACGACGGCGAATAGCGGGCCGTTAGCAGTGCTGTCGGGACGGAAGGATGGGGATGAGAGCGTTGATGGATTGTCGCTGGCTGTGGAGGCGGGTGGCAAGAAGCATGGGAAGAAGAAGAGGGAAAAGGAGATCGAGAACGAGAAGCGGGGTGATGTGAAGAAGGGGAAGTTGGGAAGTTCAGGATCGAGAATGGAGGATGTGGATATGAATGGCCGGAAGAATAATAATGATGATGTTAATCATGATGATGATGACGATGACAGCGACGGCGGATTCTTCGAGGAATAGCATGTTATTCATAAAGAACTATACGCAGGACCTAAAAAAAAAAAAAAAAAAAAAAAAAAAAAAAAATCCCTAAACGGTTCTCCTGCGCCATGTCAAACGCTCCCTCATCTCAATTTTAAGCCGTTGCCTTGATCCATTATCTATATTCAGCGTATGAAAATCAAACTTCCCATGGCGGAATCATTCTATATAGGTACCTCCACGACCACTGAGGTGTATCCCGCTTTTAGTTTTATAGAGGACCTAATCAATTCCTCCGTTCGTGGATCATACAGCACATATCATATACCCCATATTTCTTAAGGTAGTGTGTCCCATAGCTAGATTAGTGTAATGGTACTTTCCGTACAAGGGGTCAGGAGAGTGGTTGGATCAAGTACGTAGGTATGTAACGTACGTTATAAGACCAAGAGACGGAGAAATAGGAAAGAAAACGAAGAAATAGGAAAGAAAAAAGCTTTCGTTTCAAAGAAGAGAGAAAGCTAACTTACCAGTTTAAAACAAAGACTAACAAGATGGGGGGGACATACACAATATCAGAAAGGAAATGGAAATTGAAGAATAGATCTTTCAAACAAACAAAAAAAAAAAAAAAAAAAAAAAAAAAAAAACCAACAGACACCAACCAACACCGACTCTGGAACTGGAGAAAGCCACCCAGACAATAACATTACACCATTAACTCTCAAAATCGCCCAATACAACCCACCCCACCACCCACAGGTAAATAGTTAACAAACGAACAACACCGCTAGGCCTGGCCCCGTATAACTACCGTGTAACCCCGCCCCATTCCAACCCATACATAAATAGCAAATAACTTACCCCCCACGCATTAACTGATCCGCAGAACATATCCCCCTTCCATCCAGATGACCCGTCGGGTTTAGCTATCCCTTACTCCCGGACGCTTTGCTCCGCTTTCATATATATATATATATATATAGCGTACGTACTCGTCCCCATCCATCAAGGGATAAGGTGGGTATGGCAGGGATGTAATATGCAAAAATGACCCTTCTCCCATCCCATCCCATCCCATCCCATCCCATCCCATCATACATCATACATCATACATCATCGCTTTCTGGAAAAATGAGGTAGGCCAGCTGGTGCCTTCTCCACGAGGTACATACATACATCGGGAGCCTAGCGGCGAGGAGGCAGGTGAGACAAGGTTAGATCGATAATTTTGCAAACTCCCAACGCATGTAATGGATGCAATATATAACCAACAGTAGTTAGGACAATAAGGGGGAAAAGAGACAATAAGAGGAAAAATGTACGAGTACATAAGGAGTCAGTGTTAGATGGGGAACAGAAACTGAGGGAGCGGGGACAAGGGAAATGGCAGAGTGGAATAAAAAGGAAATATATGTTCAAGATACAAAGAGGATCATGGTGAGGGGTAAACCAGCCTGTTAAGTAGCATTTATTATCAAAAAAGGTAAACCGGAAAAAGATATGCAGTTGTCAAAGAAACACACACATAAGGAACGTGCGTAACACCATATATCCGTCTCAAAAAATGGTGGAGTTCACTAACCTATCTCCCCCTTCCCCCCTCACTTTTTACATTACCACACACCCTCCACTCCGCGCCCTCCTCCTCCGTCCCCCCAATGGCGCCAGTCCCGCAGGCCCATACGCACTCTCATCCCCTTCATCATCCTCATTATACATGCGCTCCACTTCCCTTGCCCTCCGCCGCCTGCGGCGCGCCCCAGCCCCGCCCGATCCAGCCTCCTCGTTCGCCATCATATAATCCGCCCATTTGCGCTCGAGCCGCATGGCGGCCGCGAGGTTGCCGCGCAGCACGCGCTTGGTGTGTTCGTTGACCATCATCTGCCAGCCGTAGAAGCATTTGAGGTCGATGATTTCTTTTGGGTAGAGGATTGTGGCGCTGGGTGGCGGGGGAGGGGTCGTGGGGATGGTGTCGGAGGAAGGGTTGGAGGGGGTTTCAGGGTTTGGGGTTATGGGGGTGGTGGTTGTTATTGTGGTGATTGGGATGATTGAGGACGTGGGATGGGGGTCTGTGAGGGTTGTGGTGGAGGTTGTGGAATCGGTGGAACCGGAGGTAGAGGAGGAGGAGGAGGAGGAGGATGATGATGATGATGATAGAGATTGGTTTGATTCGGTAGGGGTTTTGGGAGGTATGGCTCCGGCGGCGGTGGCGATGGGAAACGGGCGTGCCACGAACGTGTTGCAGGACAGCACTTCTCTAATGCCTACCCAGGTGACGTTTCCACAGTCAAAGACGGCTACTCTGAAGCCAAGACGGGGGAAGCTATTGCTCGATCCGCGCGTGCGGGCCTGTTTGCAGAGCTCAATTAAGGTAAGATCGGAGGCTCTTGTGTTGTCGAGGTCGAGGGACCGGATACGAGGACAGGATTTCAAAAGTTGTAGCATCCCTGTGTCGCCGACTCTTTCGCAGTAGCTAAGATTCAAATGTTGGAGGGTTCCCGCGCACCGCGCCTTTGAGAGCTCAAGTAAGAACGTGTTGGTTAACTTGTCTAATTCCTCGAGATCCAGGTGTGTAAGGCGGGGAGTGGTTCGGATGACTTCTAGGAGGGCATTATCCCCTATATTTGGACACTGTGACAGCTGCAGCCCTTCCAAGTCTGGAAGGTTATGGGCAAGGCTTTTGATCCCCACATCAGTCAAAGAGCGGCAGCGGGATAAATCCAAATGCTTCAATTTCCGTGGAGGAACGACAGCACGGCCGGTCAAAAGGTCGATCTCTGGATCGACCCCCTCCATGAGAATTTTCAAGCTTGCATCCGATAAGGAGGAGCAGTGGGAGAGTATCAGCCGTTCCAGGCTATTTGTCTCGAACAGCTGCACCAGGAGTTGACGATTATCAAAGCCGGACAGCTCATTCACCCGCAAATCTCTCAAGTGAGGACAAGAGGCGACAATCCGTCTCAACCCTCTGGCGTCGACGCCCTTACACCAGGAGATGTCGAGGAATTCCAGTTGGGGACAGTTCTGAGAGATTGTTTTCATGGAGGCATTGTTAACTATGGACAGTCCAGATACATCAACATGGACCAGCTTGGGGTTCTTCCGTATTAATAAATGGAGGGTTGTTCGGTTAATCCTGGAATCCCTTATGCACAGGTTGACGAGATTGTGGCAAGTATTGGATATGAGCTCTCCATGTGACAACCATGCGTTTTCCAGCTGGGTACAGCCACGTAGGTTCAAGTCCCTCAAAAACGGGCCTGCACCGGTAATCACTTTTACCAAGGCTTCACTGGGTATATCGGTGTAGTAGGTGGATGTATCCAGCCTAGCCCACAGCTGTCCATCGAAGCACATTTTGTTCCACGCTTTGGACACGCGGGAGCATCTAAAGAGATCTTTAGCGGGTAGATACTGCAGAATGGCCATTTTAATTTCCTCCGGCATATCCGCCCAGAATTCAAACCGAGGCTTCGGTGATTTCACCATAACTGTAACCATTTCCGGCATTTCACAAAGGTTTTCGTCAAGTTCCATTGAACTCGGTAGAAGACTGCCTCTGGACGTTGGCCGCATATCTGCAGGGAGCGGTATGGAGCTATGGGAAGTGGTATTGACAGCAGCAGCAGCAGCATCAGACGTTACAACCCTTATTGGGATGCTGTTCTCATCATGAACGCCCTGGCTGTGGGGGACGGTATTGTTCCTAGCCGCGAGAGACCCATACATCTGTGGTGAGGCTGGGCTTGTAAAACATTGCGTATAGGATGTTGAGTTAAGAGAGACACAGGACATTGAAGCTTTCCCGTGCCGCCGGCTACCAAGAGACGAAGAGCGCTGCCTGCCAGTTTTCAACAGGGAAGGGCTTGATGCGATACGCTGTAGTCCATGCAGAAGCTTCTCACTTTTTCTCTTCGGGGGCATACCCGGGTGGTTGTCCGCGGATTCCACGCTCATTGGTGTGGTCGGGCCAGGCGACTCCATCATCTCATCAGGCAGTATCGAAGTCATTGTTGGGTTGTGTTGTGACTTGGTACTTAAAGGGAACAAGCTTGAAAGAGAGAGCTTGGTGCACAGCCGATCACACTTGAATATCGGGAACGAAATGGATTGGCGGTAGGAATGATAAAGGGACTAAGTAAGAGGTAGGTAAGAGACAACCGGGAGGGGTGATTTGGGGATCGAATCCAGCGCGATCATAGGGCAATAGAGGGCAAGGCGTAGATGGCTGCAACAGGTCAACTGCTGTCACCAAGTGAAGTATGATAAGCGAGGATGACGATGACTCTCAGTAAGCGGATGACGAAGGTAGGGACAGTCCACCGTCTAAGCAGACAGAGAGCTGAATGTCCAAGCGGTCTGCAGACCCGGATGGCAGGTAGAGTTTGTTGAGAGGAGGAGGAATAATTCTGCGGAGGGGTTGTGGTAGAGCGCGGGAGAGCGATGAGGTCAGCGTCCGGCAACAACGGGAGCGAGTAGTTAACCCTATCGCCGTTATAGGGTGGGAGACACAAACCACTCACCGGGCTTGAATTCCCAACGCTAGCCACGGGATCGGAGCAAACCAAGGTCCAAGCAGCTGGATGGTGAGCTATTATTATTATTATTGAAGATAAATAACAAATAAATAAAAAAGGGTCAAAAACTAATGACTACTTACTGGTGGTGCTGGTGGCAGTGGTGGTGGTAATAGTAGTGGTAGGGTAGGGTAGTGCGGTGGCAGGTGAGGTGAGCCGAGGTGGACCAGAAATCATGACCACAGGCACGTCATATCGACTTCACAAGAGCCAGATCGTGTCATACCAGCAGGTCACTAGGCTCGGGGTGAGTGATCCCTCCAATGTAGGAAAGTTTGCTCGAACTCCAGGATTTGTCAGAGCAGTGGGACTGTTGTGTCTTAGCCAGAAGAGCAAGACAAGCTTCAGCTTTGGAAGAAACAATTTGGTGGTGATGGTGGTAACCTCTAGTTAGTTGTGGCGGGGGAGAGAGAAAAAGGAACAAGAGCAGAATAGAAGACGTATTAAGGAGTGGAGAGTTACAAGTAACATTCCTATGCCACCACCACCACGACGACAGCTGCATCTAATGTGGCGGCTGACAGTGATTTATTCGCTCTACTACTGTAATTATTATAGGGCGTATTATCTGTATTCCTCCCATCATAATAAAGACTCTTAAAAGAAGCTATTTAATCACCTCCAGCTATACTTAATTACCCGGGATCCTCATATCGAAAATCCTCTTCTGCTGAGCTGTACTTACATCTCCAACTCGCCATGCCCTACCTACCCTGATTCTGTATGATAAGTTATCCACCCCCGCAGTGTTCCTGTTAGGTTAGCTAACTTACCTAGGCAGTTAGCTAGTTATTTTTTTGTCTTCCCCTCCCCTTCTTATCGATAACGAAAACGCTGTCCTTGTAGTGTGCTTCTAGCGTGGAAATAGCTCCGTTACCCCGGCTCCTTACTCCTCCCATCCATACGCTGTACGGAGTAGATGTAATGTACATGTACATAACCTAGGTATGGACGTTCCCCACTGCCGTTTATTTCTCATTGCCTGCTCTCCAAACTCCGCATCAAGCCCTATTCAATTTTGTGATATTGTATGTGTGTATGAGAGAGGGAGAGGGTTGTCAGCTGTCCAAACATTAGCATTTCACCGGCGGCATGTGATTTCTACTTAAGTTCTAATTCCAAAGTTTAGTTAGTAACCCGCGAATAGACAATGAGGGCTTATTATTAATAAACACGAGCGAAAACGGCACCTGAAGGTTCCTACAGGTTCCCGTATATGGTTACTCTGCCAAAAAGGCCATTGTCGAGCCTTTCTTTCAATGTTGCAAGTTCTGGCGTATGCTCTTTGGAGAAGGCCGGGATCCGATCCGCTTGCTCTTCTTGCCCGCTATTATTATTTAGGGAACACAATGTCTTGATCTCAAACGGAGTGAGTAAGTTACGGAGTAGATTTCGTTAGGCTAGCAGCTAGTTTTATCTTCTAACTAATACGGAGGTGTGGAACATTTGTACTTGTACGTCCTTACAAACACTAGTAATTTAAGTGGTAAAGAGAATACCATCCTCCCGGGCTCTGCTGACGTCTGTTGTGCCTATTGCTCAGCTGACTGGGGCACTATTATTTATTTATTATTGAGTGCCTATTCTTTAAATCCAGTACTGCAATTTCAATTTCTAACGTGTGCAAGACTTTCTGTTCCACACCTCCGTATATACCATAGCATTGATAGGTGGTAAGTCTAGATATATGTAGACGAAGATGTGTGTGTGTTGTGTGTATGTGTGTATGTGTGTATGTTTGTACGTCCGTGGAGAGGAAAGTCACACATTGTCATATCCATATATATATATAACTATATATTTATAGCAAATTTCCCATTCTTACGAATAGAAAAGGGTCGCTGTGGAGGACAGGAACAGACACAACAAAAACAAAACAAAACAAATAAAAAATAAAATAACTCAATAGTTATAGCTTAACAGTTATCTAATCTATCTATCCCAGTTATAGTTACCAGCTGCAGGCGTTAAGATATAAAAGGGGGAAAAAAGGGAGAAGAACCCCCCCCCAAAAAAAGAAAAGAAAAGAAAGAGGGAAAAAGAAAAAAATGAAAATCAAAATCATATACAATGATATTGTGTTTTTTGAAGGAAACAGAGGCTGGATGGAACAAGTACCATGGCCCTTGGGGAGATGATGGTGATGATGATGAAAATGAACAATGGCGCCGAACGGGATACTGAAATAAAGAGCGATGGCGATGAGATGCGTGAGAAAGCTGTTTGTGTGCCCTGTGGATATCGACTTCTTCAAACATGCTAGGAATCTTTCCTATTCTTTTTTTCTTATTTCTTTTTTCTTTATTTTTTATTGGGGGGCCTTGAAATTGCTTCCTCAATTCCATTTTCCATTTTCCATTTTTCTCCATTTTCCCTTTTTCTTGATTCTCCTTCCCTTTCCCGTCCTCTGAACCCACCTCGTCCTACAGCCAAAATGTTATGCATAACGCAACATACACTCGTTGGCCACTATTGCCATTTGTGCACGCGAGAAGTTCCCCGAAAACTATCAAATCAATCCCACCCGTCGTTGCTGCTGTGGTCGTCGTCGTCAATCATTATCTTGTCGTTGAGTTGTCGTCCCCTGGGCTTCTTCCAGAGAAGTCACCAGGCACGGGTACGTATATCAAGGACACATGTTGTAGGTCCATAGCAAAATTTTCAAATTTTCAAATTTTCATTCTCTTTTCTTTTTGATTTTTTGTCTACACAATTAATCTTCCTATGTTTATTTAACAACAGTAGGACCGTCCTCAACCTTTGTAGCCACGGCAGTTGCCAATGAAGCAGGCATCATCCACGGGTGCTGCATGACTCCTTCGATAGTGAGACGCTGATCAACGTCCCGATCAAGCATTTGGCGAATCAAATCGATACATTCTTCCGAGAAGGGTAGATAGGGGACGCGCAGCGGGTGATCAAGGATCTCGTCGATATTGTAGAAGGGGTTCTCTTTATAGACGATGGTGTAGAGGAGGATACCCAGGGCCCAGACATCTTGTTCCTTGCCGCCGTAGGATTTACCTTGGAGGACTTCGGGGGCAGCATAGTCTATTTCACGTGGTATTATATCAGTTACTATTTGTGTTCTAAGAGTGCAAAGAAAGGGGGGACGCTGTATCATCAAGAATTTTTAAAAGGATCTTATAGTAACAAACGATTTTTCACGTACCTATTGTACCAACAAAGACGTCAAAAGGACCTTTGCTGATATAAGCTGCGCTCCCAAAGTCGATCAGTTTTATCCTCCCCTCCCCATCAAGAATGACATTCTCGTCCTTGATATCACGATGAACAACATGTGCTTTGGTATGGAGGTGATGAATTGCATCGACGACCTGGTAGAAGATATTCCTGCATTCATCCTCGTCCATTTTCGATCGCAGCTCAATGTAGTCAAACAGATCCATGCCAGGAAGCCCATGGGGGACCATCTCGATGTAGTAGTTGGTATCGTCCTCAAAGAAGCCCTTCATTTCAACGATGTTAGGGTGTCGTAGGCCGTCGCGGCGCAAGTAATCCAGTACATGAATTTCCAAAGGTACGGTTCCGAGGCGTCGATCTCGCGTCCAGGTATCGACCAGAATCCGCTTCTTTGTTACATACTTTAGTACTACCTTACTTGCCGGGTTTCTCTTGCAGCGGGCCAGTTTCACTTGCCCGTACGCGCCTTGGCCCATTTCCTCCAGGATGACATATTCTGATATCGATTTCTTTTTTGGCATCTCTTTCTTTGTTGCTGCGCTTCGTACTTCAGGCACTGGTTGTACGGGTTTGTCCGTCAGAGGTTCCGATGCAGCTTCGTTTAGCTGCCTTGATAATAGCGATAGCTGAGCTTGGTTCTCAATAAATGGCGAATCGACGCGGGGGGGTTCGATTGCAGGTAGCGTCGGTGACCGCTGGCCAGGGGAAAGCTGTGGTGGGAGAGACGGGGATCTCGCTGAGAGTGGTTGAAGTTGTTGGTTTTTCTCCTGCATTGAGGAGTGAAGTTGTCGTGAATAGGTTATCCACAGTGCATATACAACTTCAGTAACGGCAACAGGCGCTCCATTTTCATCATCTACCGTTGAGTGCTCGCTGATATCGGATGTTGAGTTTGCGGGGAATATGGTTTCACTTTTAACAACGCGCAATTGAACATCTACCATAATCTCCGCTCCGTCGCGGTGACGAGATGGAAGACCAGAAGGTCTTGAAAATAAGGACGCAGCTTTCGTTTTCCCGTCCCGAATGACCAACAACGCTCTTGCTCTCCGGAAGCTATGTTCGGGTATCACCATTCCATCAACTAAGGACACATCATCTTCTTCCGTCAAAATGTTGAGGTATTCATCAAAGTATGGGATCAAGTCCGTAACCTTGAGATCTTTGAGATGCTCCTGACCAAAAAGGGCGGCGGAAAAAACAGAATTGGCGCTGATAACGTCCAGAGTTGTTGCCGATAAAACCACAATTCCGGCAACGTGTGGGAAATGGGAGATACGGAGATGATGAGGACTCGATAATTCGGTAATAGTAATCGGGATGGAGGCTTGATTCCGTGTCAAAGCGGTAAAGTATTTCAGCTCGACAATCCTTCTAAACACATCTTCTCCAAAATTCTCCTGCTGGGGTCGTGGGACGTTTGGAATAATATCCGTGATGTGGATCCCTGATTTGAGCATATTTGCACCCCAAATTGGCTCGATATCACCCTGACTTTCGAGTAGTCGTCCGCCATCGTCAAAGCGTAAATGAACCGTGTTTTCTACAATTTCTTCCAGTACCCAGATTAACCCCCCTCGCTTTTCGATAACCCAAACGCTTGCTGATCCTGTTACTCCATTTCGCTTCAGGATCGGTACGACGTCACCGCACAGCAAAACGCCACGAGATTTATTGGAAGAATGATTCATTTTCTTCGCAGATCTTTGGCCATAGGGAGTAGAACCACTGCCATCCTCGGTTTTCGCTCTTCGAGCGTTCGTCGCGTTTGAAGGGGATTTACTGAGTAATTGCGCAGTTACACCGTTCCCCATACCTAGAGATGCCGTATTGACGGTGTTTATTTTCAATTTGTCCGGCGAATCGGGTTTTCCTATATTATCTAGAGAAGGCTTCCGCAATTTCGACTCCAGCCACTGCCTTCTCTCCTTTTGGACAAGGTTTAGGATACTCAGCTTTTTGATGTCAGCTTCTGTCACACCAAAGCCCAGACATGCAAGATCATTGGCAGCGAGAATTGTCCAGGGCGCTGTTGATCCTGTTGTGAACACCGCCTGCGAAACCGGAAACCATTTACTACTATGAGTGTGAACGCTTGAAGCACCACCGCCACCTAGACCATACAAGATGCCACCATGAGAGAGCGTCTCGCCAGCCGAGTAGGGCTGGGCTAGGGCCTCCGTGAGTTTATTTTGAAGTGCAACTGACCCCAGGTCCGTATATGTTCGCTTTAGACTGACACGCCTTGATGAAGGAACAGACTTCATTCCCCGTTTTTGGGGTGTTATATGGTCATCTGCAATAGGACTTAAATATTGACTTTCCTCAAGAATTTGTCGGGGTGACGCAGGGCCATTCCGAGATGAAGTTTCACCGGTAGTTCGCGATAGGGACCCGGTGGTTGCGAACGCCTTTTCAAATATATTAGCCCCTTCCATGTCTGGCGGACCGGTGAGAGGGCCTCCTGCTAAACCCGAATTCACAGGCTGGTTTTCGCCACGATCCAGCAGATTCGCCTTAGAAACCAATTCCATCATGCTCTGAATTTCTGCGTCCCCGCTGAGTCGAGCCTGGGCATTGGCAAGGTGAACATTGCTCGCTGCAAAACCAAACCGATCTTTCATGAAGTCAATCGACCTTTTCAGTACATTTTGCCGATTGTGCAGGAATTCTTCAGATTGTTGGGCGAAGGAGAACGAATGGAGGGACTCGGAAGGGAAGCGATGCAAATCCTCTAGGCCAGGCGTAGACCGATCTGTTGAGAAATGCATTGATGGTGACCGAGACGACGCCACACTTTGCGAAGCGATCGAAGCGATGGGGGAGGTGAAGGTGGAATTCGATGTG